TTCAAGGGCCTGTATACTAATAAGCCCAGACAACCGAGCTGGCTCGGTTTCCTAGATCTCGACACATTCAGTTTCGATATATAGCCAACTTCTGTAAAGTATTAGTCACAAGTGTGATATGTTAGCGCACATAGAATGTTTGTAACCCGTTAATGATATTTACTGTTTCTTATGGAGCCTATTTGCCAAAACGCAATCGATCATAGAACTGCGTTTCAGTTTAGTGAAAATCAAACAGCTACGCCCGTTTGGAAGGTTTTATCTTTTACGCGTCTCAACGTCGAAAAGAAGCCCTAAACGAATGCAGCTGTCTCTAATTTTTGGGATTACCTTCGGCTCCTGATTGATTTCAGATTTGCCGATTTCCGGATGATCCGGATTTCCGTATTTCCGGTTTTCCGTATTTCCGCGTTTCAACATTTCCGGTTTACGTGTCAACCTGCATTTGACCTTGCAGAGCCGGTTGAATAGAAGGTTTATTCGAGGTTGTAGCTCTGAAATCTCAATTTTCTGATCCAAAATGAGACCTATCTAGTTAATTTTCTGATTCTCGAGCAAACTTTCACCTCTGAACGGTTGTTTTACCGAGCTATTTAGCTCGAAACGTGACACAGTTTCACCTGTTTTGATCTTCGGATTGTTAGCTTGGGATTCAAAAATGGCCGCATATCAGCAGTTTCTAAAGCACAGCTTACTGGAATTTTATGGAGTCCGGCATCTCAGGGATTGGAATATGTCTCAATTTGTGAGTCAGTGCCAGTAATGAACGCGTTGATACAAACGGTCATAACTTTTAAAATACTGAAAACGTACGTGGGGTTTTGTGTATTATTAATAACAGGTGGTCTATCTTTGCGACTATTTAGTCTACAGCTTTCAACTATGTCCCAAAAGTCAGAAATAAGCTTTTAAAACAGGGTCATTTTTGGCCTTTCGCTCCAAGGCAATTAGTTGGGGTCATATTTTGCATGATTTTGTCTTTCCAGCTAAATTTAGCGAATAACTATTACTTTCAGGAAAAACTAGAGATGTTTACCTATAAATAGGTATAAAATTAATTGGTAGATGGTGCAAATCAAATATTTTACAGCGCCGCAAAAAATTCCAAATTTTCAGTTTTCAAGACGTGCAAAATGGCCGTGGCGGGACAAAATACTCGGCGCCCCCCAGCGCGGCCAGAAAATTATTGTGAATCAAAGCAAACTTATTTTAGTTATAGTCTCGATAAAGCCTTTCACTCGCCAGAGTTTCAGGCAAAATTATTTTTCACGCGAAATTGAGTGGGCGGTTTTTACTGAGACAGCCTCTTAATGTGAAAGATGAGGTCGTTGAGGAACATGTTGAAAAACATGGGCCCCAGGACGCTGCTTTGAGGCACGCCCCGCTTCACACTCATCCAATCCGAATAAGTATCACCAATTTTCACTCGCTGCCTTCTAGCCGTCAAGTAGTCACCGATAAGGGCGCAGCTGGATTCGTGCAAGCCATACGCTTTCAGTTTTGCTAATAGCAAAGCATGAGGTATGGTGTCGAAAGCCTTTGAATAATCTATTGATATAACCGCCACGATCTCTTTATTGTCTAGACTGCGCCTCCAGTCCTCAGTCAGCCTAAGTAAAGATGTCTCACAGCTATAGTGCCTCTTGTAGGCAGATATGTATTCAGACAATATGTTCTGGTAAAAGTCGCCCATTTGAGCTGAAAGTAGCCTCTCAAAAACGTTATTGAGCGCAGGTAATACGGTCACTGGTCGATAATTGCTTTTGTTTAGTTCATCGTCCTTTTTAAATAAAGGAGTAACTTGACCTAATTTCAAGCGCGACGGATACTGTCCTGTCCTAATCGAGTGATTCATTATTGCAGCTATAGGACCAGCAATCGCGTTGGCAGACTCTTTTATCAGTCGCGGTGGTATTCCGTCATAACCACAGGATTTACGGGAGTTGATTTTGAGTAACAAAGCTTCCACTTGGGTTTTATTAGTATATTGAAAAGCAAAATTGTTTCTCGCAGCGATCTGCTCATTGTTAGTAAAAATCGCCTGAATGCTAGGATGTGCATCAAACCCTTTTCCATAAATCTGTTCAGTAATCTCTGGCACGCCGTCCGCGATGTTCACGAAATAGCTATTAAAAAGCTCCGCTATTTGTTTCTTGTCTGTTATTACGACATCGTGTTCTTTTAGTATTATGTCATTAGCTTGCTTACTTTTCCTTGAATGCAAAAATGGGCGGTATGTGTCCCAAAACTCCCTTGGGTTTTCCGACTCACTTTTCTTGTCAAAGAAAGTTTTGTACCTGTTGATTGAGTTATTTTACATTGGTATGCCTGTGATGCGGACGGTCGTTCCTTCAGGCGGTCGGTGTACGGTCACGTGATTGCCAAATTTTTCTGGGATGGGTAGATTTACTTACCCATGGTGCTCCGCTGACACGCACGAAAGCTCCGCTAATAACAATGCACTGAAACACGCATCTGAAGACGTTTACTTTCTTGTCTTGACAGAGTACAAAGTCGTTAAAACGAATCTCATGGCAAGAGAATATACGATAAATAAAGTTTATTACTATTGCTATGGAACTATTAACATTACGAGAGCGTGGTTGATTACAAAGTGCAATGGACAGTTATTACAAATTGCGAAAACTTTTTTATTTCAAAGTGCGACAGAGTTTACTACAATTTACGACGACACGTATTACCAAGTAGGGTGATTATTACAAATTGCGACAGTACACATAGGTTACCTTATTTTGTAAATCATATACAAATTCATAAATATCTCACTGCTTATCCAACAATAGGCGCTGAATCGATATCCGCACCCTTTCTTTCAGATCATACGAAAGCCAAATTCAGCAATATTAAAATGCTAATTAACTGCTAAGGGTAAACAAAAGCAACATAAAAAATTCAGCTAATACAGTTCTTCTACATACGAATAGAAGCCAGAAGGTTAAAACCTAGTCTTAAATTTAGGAAAAAGTGCACGCTGTACTGTCGCAATTTGTAATAATCATCGCACTTTGTAATACCTGTCGCAATCTGTAATAAATCCATCGCACTTTGTAATACCTGTCGCAATTTGTAATAAACCGTGTCGCACTTTGTAATAAAAAAGCTGTCGCAATTTGTAATAACAGTCCATCGCACTTTGTAATAAACTAAGCTGTCGCAATTTGTAATAATTCCATCGCACTTTGTAATAATTTTTTGAGAGTGATTCAACTTAATTCGTCAACATTAATATAATGCCAAAATATGCATGGTACTTCATAAACAAAGATGATGACGTCTGCTAGCATGTAACATGTCCATAACATTTTCTTTGGTCAAACATTCATTTCTTCCGCTATAGGTTTTTCTGCCTTGTTTAATCACGTGACTAACTAGAAACGCTTTTATGAAAAACATGAAACTTCCTCTGACATATCACCAAAAAGATATGAGTCACGTTTAAATTCAAAAATATTTAAATAAGAAAGGCAACATTTAACAACAGAAAATTCATGAATAACCTGGCATTCGTCGTCCAAATCCATGTTTGCTTGCCACGTGACAAGTGAAGTCTTCGGCGGGGGTGGGGCGGATAATCCCATATATGGATGGGCTAGATAGGTAAGTACCGCCTGATAGGGTATGGTTTTTGAGGATCTCGAGCCTTTAATAGGGTATCATTTTTTGCGTTGTTGGCCTTGTGTCTTTGGTTTGATCCTTAGATAGGGTAACTCAAGAAGTAATGGATGGTTTATTCCATCCTTTCCATTTCGTAGAAAAACAGTAATCCAGAACACGCTCGGAAGAATTGCAAGGTCTTACGAGTTGTATATACGCAGGGAAGGATAATTTTTTACCATCCCCATGGTATTTAATTTGCTTTAGAGGACTCCTTACAGAAAACAATTGTTTTAAGATGGAATGAGTACTCCTTTTGTTCCTATATGGGACCAAATCAAGTGAGAATAATGGACCAAATGCCCAGCCGGCTCAGTGTAAGACCCCAAGTGAGTGTTATAAAAACAGGTACATACGAAGGTATTGGCCAGCGACTAATTGGATTTTGTGTTTAGGTTTCTGTTGTGGTTCGAAGGTTTGCCACTGGTGACTTTTTTTTTATTTGCAGTAAACATTTTGAATCTTTACAGGCCTCGTTTGATTTAGTTGGCCAAAATATGGAAGCCACTATTAATTCTTTAAGATTGCTCGTTAGACAAGAACGGTGTACAACGTGATGTGTCAACCTGTTATAAGATCTAACGAGGAAAACTTGAACTCTCCTTGTGTCCTTATTCGAATGATGTAGGATGGATGTTACGATTAGCGGAAATTAAATGCTTTTTAATAATGGCTCGTTTGTGTCTAGTGTGTCTAGCTCTGTCTAGATCCTCTACTCTGGCAATGCTCTGTCCAGAGACAAATCCCCGTATTGGCCATATAAGGAAGTACACCCGCCGGGTAACCATTGAATGCAAGCCACCTAGTACAATAGCAAGGTTCAAGAATACAGCATTTCGTAAGTCAGATAACTAATCAACATTAGTCTAAAAAGATGTTACGTGCTAGCAGACGTCATCTCCATCTTTGTTTATGAAGTACCATGCATATTTTGGCGTTATATTAATGTTGACGAAGTAAGTTTAATTACTCTCAAAAAGTTATTACAAAGTGCGATGGAATTATTACAAATTGCGACAGCTTAGTTTATTACAAAGTGCGATGGACAGTTGTTACAAATTGCGACAGATTTTTTATTACAAAGTGAGACACGGTTTATTACAAATTGCAACAGGTATTACAAAGTGCGATGGATTTATTACAAATCGCGACAGGTATTACAAAGTGCGATGATTATTACAAATTGCGACAGTACACACGCCATGCCCTATTATCTGACCAAAACATCTGTCTGCATCGCCTTTTTGTAAAAAAAAATGTCAGTTGATAATTCTACACCGAAGAAATGGTATCTCAGGGATATACTAACAATTCAAATATCACTTTTAACTACGCTGAGAAACTCCATTATTCCTTTGGGGATTTCTACATAAAATTACTCGTTTGAACCCTTCCTTAAAATTAGTGCTGCGAAAAGCGTAGATAAAAGGGTTGAAACATAAACTTACAACGAATACAAAATCAGCCACAGTCGTAAGTTGAGCGTAAAAACTAACGTCTGTTGTTCCATCTCCTGATGGAATGATCACGTAAGAAACAAGGGTTGGTGTACAACCCATAAAAAATCCAAAAGTTACCAACATGAACGTGATAACAAGTTTCTTCTTCTCAGATCTCCTTTCTTCATCTGTTTCTGCACACACCGTGTTGCTGAAGTAAAGTCCCCTTATCAAGGTTCCATAGCAGTACATTATGATCGAGAGTTGAATAAAAGATACAACCACATTTAAGACCATACAAGCTTTGCTTCCTCGATTTAAGTATAAAGTCCAGGGACCAATACATGTCTCACGAGTTTCACTCCATTCTTTAAAGAAAGTTTCCGGAAGACATATAAGAATACTTGCGACCCAAATGCAAGCGATCGCCTTCTTAACGTTGTCTTCTCTTAAGCGCAGTCCATTTCTGAAAGGCTTCAATAAAGCGTGATACCTTTCCACCGCTAGTACAGTTATAGTAAAGGAGGAAACCATTATACAGAGTTCAACGAGCACAACTAACTTGCAAACGAATTTCCAAACTTCAAAGAAATACAACGGCCACAACAAAATGGCAATAATATCACTAGCGGCTATGCTCACCAGAAGGTAATTTGTCGGCGTGTGCATCTCCCGTGTTTTGTGAACAATTCGTACTACCAACACATTTCCTATGAATCCAATGACAAGGAACGGGATGCTTGAATAGAATAAGGTATAAGCCAGGTTATAGATTTCATCCATATTGCGTCTCTTTAAAAAGTAGCGTTCTTGCTTTTGTCTTATTTGATGTCGAGTATTTTGAGTTTAAGGACAGCAATTAGCTTTGGCCGAACAAAGCCTCTTGGGAAACTGTATGGAAAAGTCTAACTTGAATAATCCAACGCGAAAAAAGTTTTTAATAATTTATGGAGGTTAATTATTCTATACCCAACATATTAATATATTTCAATATTTCACTCCAGGTGCTGTTTTTCATTTTTCGTTTTAGTGATAACAACCCTTTATATATTCGTTTATAGATGCAAAATGCTAGGCACTGCTGGGCGCATTGACAACTTTCATGTCCGCGTGATAGTTCTTAATAAACGCTAGTCCTGACGTCAATTGCTTTCAATATCACCTGTTTATCGAGTTCATCACGAGAAACAGCTTAATATTCTTAAATCGAAAGGGCTATCGCTTTTCGAATAAACCTCTTCTTTGTAAATGTACCATACGGTTGGAAAAATACACAGTTTCCCAACACGTTTTTATACTTTATTTTCGCAAAGCACAATCGCTAAGTTCAGTTTATTGTATGTAAGCATGTACACTGTACCACTCTTTTCTCTTCCTTCGCAACTTTGACTCTTGAATGCCGCACAGGCAAAGTCAGACTACTTTTCAATTGAACTAGAAGGCGGCGAAGCCTTTCAAGTCTAAGTAAGATTATAAAACATTATGTTAACTTATTCTCATTGGTGAACACTTACTTTGATGCTTGACTTTCTTCTTCTTAACTTGTAAAAAGAGAAGCTGTTTTTGAATAATTCTTGTCCCCTGATCTAATGATCGTAAGAAAACTTCCACTCGCTTTTAAAAGTAAATAGGGCTTGTAATCTGTTGTTGCAAAAAGTCTGTATTCGTTAGTGAATACAAGCGATCGCAAAGTTGTTAGTGACAAAGCTCCAATAGCACTGACTGCTCAGCCCCATCCCCTTCTGCCTCCCCCAACAATCCCCCCCCCCGCCAATCCTCCGCAGACGCTATTATTCAGCCGGCCCGCGCACTTGTCTAAACGAAACTTGCGATTCAAATACAAGCGATTGCCCGCTTGATGTTATCTTTATCGTAGTCGCATTCCTGTTTCGAATGGCTTCAGAATCGCGTGGTATCTTAAAAAATAAAAATACTACGAGAACAAAAAAAAACAGTTGTAGTAATTTTATTCAAGAAATAAAGCGTTTTCATAATCTCCTCTTTAAAATTAATTATAATTTTATGCATTAATATTTTATTGTTTTTTTTTACAATAAATTCTTCTTCTTCTTCTTCTTCTTCTTTTTCTTCTTCTTCTTCTTCTTCTTCTTCTTCTTCTTCTTCTTCTTCTTATTATTATTATTATTATTATTATTATTATTATTATCATTTTTGTCGTTTATTGTTATTTTGTTACGATCACCTTTTTTTTACTTCTTCACAACATTACGGCGCCGAACTTGAAACTACAGATTAACGGCGAAAAAATTTTAAATTTATATTTTTTTTTTCATTCTGATGATGACGAAAACAGCTAAGAGAAGCAGTTAGTTATTCAGTCCAAGAGGAGTTTCGTTGTGTGTTGTAGGGTTCCAGTGAAACAGCATTCGTTTAAGGCCTTCTCGGAAGTTTCTGCCTCGAGATCCATAAATCATAGGGCTTAGACTTTTAAAAACTGCTCACGAAAAAGAAATCCGTTACGTATAGAAAGTCTTCGTTTCTATCACTTCCTGTTACTTTAAATGCCCAAAAATACCCCAGATATGGCGTGTAACCCACTAAAAACCCTGTAGAAGCCAAGATTAGAGTTATGACAAGTTTCTTTTTCTCCGATGTTGTCTCTCTTTCGGTTTCTGGGTACACTATGCTACTAAAGTAAAGTCCCTTAATCACGCATCAAAAGCAAGAAAACGTAACCACCATTTGCATATAGGCTATGGTGAGATTTATGGCGACATAAATTTGGCTTGCTTCATTCATCTGTAAGGTCCAGGGACCGATACACCCAGAGTATGTCTCGCTCCATTCTTTAAGAAAGAATTCCAGAAAACATATGATGAGACTTGCGATCCAAATGCAAGCGATTGCCCGCTTGATGTTATCTTTATTTAACCGCAGTCCTGTTTCGAATGGCTTCAGAATCGCGTGGTACCTTTCCACCGCCAGCGCGGTAAGGGTACTGGAGGAAACCATGATGCTGATTTCCGCAAGCGTAGAAAACTTGCAAACGAACTTTGCGAAGGAAAAGTAGTACAGTGGCCACAGCAATACGGTGATGACATCACTAACGGCCATACTCACGAGAAGATAGTTTGTCGTGGTGTGCATTTCTCGTTTCTTATGCACAATTCGTATCAACAAAAGATTTGCGATCAATCCGATGATAACGAACGGGATTCCCCCATAAAAAAGTGCTAAGGGAAGAATAACGTTTTTGGTCATGCTTCACTCATCAAGCTTATCAATACGACAAAGTGTGAGACAGTTGTACGTTCGTTGGTAGACCAACTTTAAATAGCCTAGCTTACTTAATGCTTCCTGTTTGTTGAAAAGGTAGATCGCGTATCGACTTTTGCATTAATCGGGCTGATAATTGTTGCCATACTGAGATGGTATTCATGAGTGACGTTTATCGTGAAAATTAGGAATATTCTGTGGAATGATTAACACAAAGGGCGGCTTTTTAAGTAAGGTTAAAAAATGGAGCACTCGTTAAAAGATGCAGATAGGCAGGGACCCACCAATTAAAAATCATTTAATCTTTATACTCGGGTGGCAGACGCCACCAGAAGACGGATGAGAAAATTAGGTTTGAAATTGGGTTGTGGTGGTTTTTTTACCCTCTAAGTAATATTTGTAGTAGAGTCGAGTTTTGGCATAAGTTCTTAAAGGGAGTTTTATTTGGGCCAAAATACCACAAGGTACCCAAGTCTGATTTGTTCTGGAAGATATGTCACTGGTATTGAACAGAAAGATTACATAAAGTGCTTGGGAGTATATAGGTGAACATCTCAATTGGCGATACAGATACAACATGTAAATAACAAATTAGCTAGAAAGTTAGGAATCCTTTCAAAACTAAGATATTACATAGATCTGAATATACTCAAACAAATTCATTATGCTTTAATATCTCTATTTGAGTTACAGTTTTCTTGCTTGGGGATGTGTTAGCAAAACCAGATTAGATTGTCTTCGCATTAAGCATAACAAAATGTCTCCGCACCATCTTCTTTGTACATCCTAGAGAGAGTGCTGCTCCCTATTTCAAACTCCTAACAATCCTTAAAGTAGATAATATATATAAATTAAAAATATGTTGCTTTATACATAGAATGAGAAATGAAACTGATAACATTCCAGATATTTTCCTTGATGTCCTGACTCCAGCATCGCATATACACAATCATAATACAAGATTTGTTAGTAATGTGAATTCTTTTAGGCTAAGAGTATCCACCAACTTAGGTAAGACGTCCTTTAAATTCTCCGCTCCAAAAATCTGGAAGACTGTACCGTCTGGTTTCAAGTGTCTGCCATATCATAAGTTTAAGAAAGAATGGAAGTCCTACCTTCTAACCAACCAAATCTGACCTTGATTATATATTATCTGAGATTTTATTTCCTCTCTTTACTGCTGCCGATTATCTGAACATGACGGTGTCCAACAAGAAAGCTCTTACTACTTTGGACACTTTGAAGATAAACAAAAAGTAAATCTTTGTACAAGTTTCCATTCCGGCAGCATGTTTCACTTCGAAAATACAGAAATTTGAACTTCCCAGTTTTCACAGTGCGTGACACCAAAACAGGAATGCTGTCTCGTTGAAAAAGTCATTCCTCTTGATTTTCGGCAGTATGACCGTTTCAAGTATTAGAGATAAGTTTATGCGCAAGTATGCTAGTTCTCAACAGAAAAGAAAAAGCTTTTATAGAAAAAGTGAACTCCAGATGTTTTCGTTGATTTCCAGGCGGCCAGTTGGTGCCCCAAAACCAGGGCGGATAAAGGTTGGGCGGTGAAACGAGCGCTCCGCTCTTCATTTAATGTGTGATGCGGAGTAGGACTGGCACGAGCGCTCTTTCCGCGCTTCCGGTGCGCTTGAAGGCCGGCGAAATTTTCTTTTTTGCAAACCGGAAATCCCATTTTCTCTCTGTAATTTCAGGCTATAATTTTAAATAGATAAATTCGTTTCATAACAATATCAATAAACAGTTTCATATGTTTGTGTCTGTATGCCTATAAGTTAAACTTGTTGGTTGTATAATGCCAAAATTTGAGTTTAATTTGAAAGTGTTAAATACCTCCTCCTTCTACTAAATATCACCTAATCGTCTTTCGCCGTTTCGTTTGCAAAAGCTTAACAGTTCTTAACCTCAATTTTTACATATGTTAAAGGGGGATAAATTTTATATAACATAACAAAAAATTAGATTGATATATTTTGATATAGTGGCGTTGTACTGCTTCAAACTTTGCTTCTCGGGTGCAACGCGCCATGGCGATTCGCGCAATGCGTCGCAAATCCGGCAACCGCGTGTAAACAAAATTTATTGAAGTTAGTTGTAAGGTTTTTTCTCCGTTCTTCTCAAAACAAGGTAAACAGTAAAAACTGAGGGGAAACTAATTTTGAAGTTTCGAAGAAACAGAAAGACGTATGAGATGTTTTTTTTCAAAATTAAAAAGAAGGATGATGGTGATTGAAATTTGCATAATTTCACCTTGCACGAGCTGCACGCATTTATAAAATACACGTCATCTAGTTTATCACACGATCTGCTGTATTTTAGTTTTGCCATGGATGACATTTTCCTTCGTGTTTTAGACAGCACTTAGTTGTTTTTGCTTTGGAATAACATCGACATTGGCGAGTAGTAGAACGAAAATATAATTCAGTGGTAGAGTCATGGAAGTAATCAGAGAAACCCTTTGAAAGAGATGTTTGTCTACTCCAACTAAACCTCCCGCAAAAAATAGCAACATTTGCCTCTCGGAGACAGCGTACCAGCACAAAGGAACGAGGAAGAAGTGCAAGAAAACAAATCAAGCCGCCATAATTCAGTGACAGCGGCAGTGTCTAATGGACAAACCACATCGCAAGCCCTGACTAGCCTGCGCGCAGACGAAATTAAACTCGAAGTCGAAAACAAGCGACATTTCTAAGCAGAGTCCCAGTCCACTACATCACACCTTTTTGCTCGGACGCGCTCGTTTCACCGCCCAACCTTTATCCGCTCTGCCCAAAACGGTACAAAGGTGCGTGAAACGTTTCGGCAAAAAACTCAGAAACTGTGGGCCACAAAGATCTGAGACTTGGAAAAATTGTTTATATATTAGTCTTTTATAACATTTCATTTTCTTGGCTTCTTCCACTGGACGGTTTTCAATTTATTTTTTTGTTGCGTGACAGTTAAAACGATCTATACCAAACAAATGATTATGTTTCAATATTACGCATTGATTGACAACAACCTTAGTTATACGTACACTCGTTTATAGACGCGACTGGCCGCAATAATTGAAAGAGTGCATCTCGGTGAGTTCCTCATAGGTTAGTCTTAATAATTTTTTTCGACAGCACCTGTTTATCGAGTTCCTGTTCCGAAAACAATTCCTTTTAAAATCCAAAGGGATCTCGATTCTCGAATAAATGTCTTCTTTGTAAATGCAACTTGCAGTTAAAAAATTACACATTTCCTAACACGTTTTTCATTTTCTTTACGCATAGAGCAATGGCAAAGGTCAATTAATTGTGTGTGTGTTCATACACTGTACCATTCTATTCTTCCTCCCCAAATTTAACTCTCGAATGCCGCCCACTAAGACTAGCTGCCTTTCAACTAAACAAGAAACGGCGCCTTTTTTAAGTCAAGCGGCGGATCCTGATATTCAAGTCTAATTAAGGAAGAGTATAAAACACTATGTTTCAGCTAATTGGTAAAATAGAAGGTGTTTTTCATAAATTCTGCTGGCATAAGTAAATAAGGCTTATAAGCTGTTATTACAAGACAGCTCTGTTGATTAGTGAATACAGGCGACCGCAAAGTTATATTTATAAGTGGTGGCAATTTTATAAGTCGCACTCGTTAGTTATATCTGTTATTCCAGTGAAGCCTCGCCCCAAATTTTAACAGGCGGATAGAATTAGGACCTCAATATTATTTCTTTATTATTTTTCGTAGTCATTTTTAACTTCTTTACTACTTCAAAACATTTCAGGCCGGGCCAAAACTTGAAATTACAGATACATAACTCCTAAAAAGCACTTTTACCACACGCAGATTTCCTTACGTTTTTTTTTTTTTTTTTTTTTGGGGGGGGGGATTTCGCATAACTTTTTGCACATAACTAGAAAGAAAAGCAAAGCTGTCCTTAACAATTGGATGTGACTTGACAGTTTTATGCAAGAACGGAATAAATATTATATATATTTTTTTAGAAAGAGAGCTAATCCGTTAGATGACGAAAATAGTAAGAGCAACAATTAGTTATTCAGTTCAAAAGCATCGTTCTGTGTTGTAGGTTTCCAGCAAAACAACATTCTTTTAAGCCCTTCCCGAAATTTTCTACCACGAAATGCATAAATAATAGGGTTTAAACTTAAACTGGACACGAAAAAAAAAAAATTCGCTACGTCTAGAAAGTCTTCGGTTCTGTCACTTCCTGTTAATAGAAATGCCCCAAAATACAACAGATATGGCGTGTAACCCACTACAAATCCCGTAGTGGCCAAGGTTAGAGTTATGACAAGTTTCTTTTTCTCTGATGTTGTCTCTCTGTCGGTTTCTGGGTACACTACGGTACTAAAGTAAAGTCCCTTAATCACGCACCCATAGCAGAAAAACATAACCACCATTTGAATACATGTAAAGGTTATGGTGAGATTTATGGCGACATAAATTTTGCTTGCCTCATTCATCTGTACGGTCCAGGGACCGATACATGTGGAGTTTGTCTCGCTCCACTCTTTTAGAAAGAATTCCGAAAAACATATAACGAAACTTGCGATCCAAATACAAATGATTGCCAACTTGATGTTATCTTTATTTAACCGCAGTCCTGTTTTGAATGGCTTCAGAATCGCGTGGTATCTTTCCACCGCCAGCGCAGTAAGGGTATTGGAGGAAACCATGATGCCGACTTCCGCAAGGGCAACAAACTTGCAAACGAACTTTGCAAATTCGAAGTAGTAAAGTGGCCACAGCAATATGGTGACGACGTCACTAACAGCCATACTCACCAGAAGATAATTTGTCCGGGTGTGCATTTCTGGTATCTTATGCACAATTCGTATGACCAAAAGATTTCCAATCAATCCAATGACAAGAAACGGGATCCCCGCGTAAAAAGGGACGTTTTCGGTCTGGTTCATACTTCAGGCCTGAAGTTGGTCAATACGACAAAGTTTGTTGAACGCGGACAATCTCACTCATACATCAACATGAGCTCATATAACAACGTTTCCAGTTTCTTTGCGGGTAGATCGTGATAGGCATTGATAGTCTTTGCAATTAATATTTAAAAGGCTGGTAATTATTTTCATAACAGTGGCGTTGACATTTGTCGTGAAAATTAGGAATAATCTGTAGAATGGTTAACACAAAAGCTGAGTTTTATTATTGAGCGCTTGCTTAAAGATATAAGAAATATAATAAGCGGTGACCGCAATCAAAAATTTCAACTTTAAAACAGTGGTAAATAAGTCTGTTAGCAAAAGCCAGAAAATGGGGATTTTTTCACAACAGACGAATTTGAAAAGGTTTAACCCTTTAAAATTTAAGATCAAAATATGAATTCTCATTTGTTGTCCCTATTCATTTCCTACAGAAGTTGTGGGGAGAAATAATAAAATGTCAAGAAAATTCATCTTGGGTGATCATGTCCTTACAAAGCATTGATATTACAAGGAGAAATTTGATGCTGATCACTCTTAGGGCTTAAGGGACGGACCATTAGAAAAGTTATGGGGGGGGGGGGGGGGGGAATTTTCGAGCTGCAGGAATTTTTTCTCGTTATCAAATTCCTTGTATGAATTTTTTTCAGGCCCTTGCATGAATATTTCTTAGGGTTAATTGGCGTGCAAGAATTTTTTTTCATTTAATTTTCCCTTGCGCGAATTTTTTTTTGTACTTCGCCCGCCCCCCCATAAGTTTTCTAATGGTCCGTCCCTAAAGAGTTAAAAGGGGATTGTAGCGGATTCTACCCCCTGATAAATGCCTGGTACGAAGGGTAAGTGGAGTAAAATTGTGCTATAGGTTGTTTGTGTTATTTGAGCCCAAAGATCATATAGTACAACTAAGTCTGCTTTGTTCTGTAATTATATTTATCCACTTGAAAGGGCTACGGAAACGAATGCATTGTTTTAATTTTGAAACAAAGCTGACTTGCGGTAACATTTTTCAAAGATTTGTTAAACTGGACTGCTTTAAAAACTGTCACGCTGTCATGTTCTTTATCAACTCATATTGTAATGCATTACCACTGTTACCCATGATTAACCAACTTCACTTCCTAATGTCTTTTCGTGACAGGCTTTTTTCGAATTAATAATAAGAAAAAAAGTCATGTTGCACTTTTCTAAAGCATGCTAAAACTGGCTCGATACTGTTCCTCGATACTGTTCCTTCAAGAGATTTTTATCGCTCTTAAGCAACGCTGACAAGATAATTTTCAATTCTAGCACAGAAGTAGTATTTCAAGATTAACATTTGCAGAACTTGACTAAGCATAAAGCACAGTAACTTGAGACTGAAATTAAGTTCCATGATCCAGCCTGCTTTGAGAGAACGTTCTGCACCAACATCACATACCAAGGTGATCTGCCTGTTGTATGAAAAACAAAACAAAGTGCTAATAAGTAAAACACAGAAGCTATTCCCCAGGCTATCGGGGAGGGAAAACCTTTTAGCAGTAAGACAACTTTACTAATGTAGATATTCTCATACGAATAAAAGATACTAAATGAGTAATATACATATAATTTACTGGCCGCTTATTTTGACAACTCAGCTGTCTACTTCAAAACTTTCTGACAACCCTGATTCATCACATTACAATAATTTTACATGCATACAGTTGTGTTTCATAGTAATAGCTAGTACGTTATGTTGCCCGCAACCTGCAACGTTAAGACTATGGACCAGGGGTTACATGTACATGTAAATGTAAACAGAGGCTGTCTATGATTACCAGTACCAGTAACAAAAAGCCTACTTTTCAAGGGCACAACCTCCCTCAGGTTGTACATTATCATTTACACGTACAGGGGAAAGTAACAAGGTCTGGGTGCAAGAAATGATGTTCTCACAGCTTGTAAAGCGATAACCCTGGTGGGCAGCAGATAATTAATTTACTGCAGTAAATGTATACTTCCGGTGTACGATGTATTACGCAAAACAAAGTTCCCATCAAACTCTCCCGAACAAAACAGTTTGGCCATCAAACAATATCAAACCAGCTTTCTGGAGAGTTTGATGCCTGAACAAAATCGAAACAAACCAAATTATACTGGGAAAAAATCAAATGTGAAAACTGAGTCAACTCAACAAGCCAGGGAAATCTGACACACTTGTCATCAATTGCTTGGAACTGAAACGTTTGTTTTTGTTCCATTCGAGTGCTCCTTATTTGAGTTCCACTTTGTTCGATAACCCAGCTCAATGTCTGACTGACTTCAAAAATCAAATGATCTATTCAATTTTTTTTTTGTGAGTGGGTTTTGTTGAATGGCTGAGCTGCATCAAACTCTTTCATTCGAAAGAGTTTGATCTAGTTTGAAACCCAAACATTCAATGTGATATGCTGGATATACATGTACATGTGTTTCCTAAAGTAAATATTTTAGCAGTGAGAGGTGAACCAACAGAGAAAATAAGTCAATAATTGACAAAAATATCATGCCTCTTTGTTTTTCTCACATGTTGTAATTGTTTCTTGGTATTGAAGATGCAAGGGAAACTAAAAAAAAATGTGACAGTCACTGCAACCATGTAACATCTTAACTGACAACAATGTATGCTGAGCTATGAGTGTGGATATTCAAGGAATGATCAGTAAACAAATCTGCTGGTTGCTTTACAAGTTGTGGGAACATTGTTTGGATTTCAAGAGAACATATTTAAGGAGTACCCTCCTTCCCCCTGGTCAATATGATGTTTGCATAGAACTGCAGGGTAATACAGGATAAATAAAAGTGGTTTTACTAGTTTAACTCCACTGCTGGTTTTGCTGTCCACTGAAATGAAGACTTAGGGCGCTTTCCATTTGTCAGAACTGACCGGCCAAACCATTCCCAACGCAATGAGAATTTCCATTTTAATCAAATCTCTCCAGCCAGATCAGTCAAATCCTAAGTAGTATGCACCAAGGAAATGGTTGTTCAGCAAAAACTCTTGGCAAAAGTGTATTTCAATATCAAACCGACTGGTTGGACAATGGTCCGGCCGGCCAGTTCTGACAAATGGAAAGCGCTCTTAAAGTCTGGATCACTTTGTTACAGTCCATTTCACATTATTTACCACACCATGTTCAGTTGCAAAGTTCATTGGAAAATTGGGTACTACATCATGAAGTAGCCAATTACTTAGCAAGTTAGGGAATCAAATTGCGAACTTCAAGACATAGTTGTCAACTTTGGTGCGACTGAGCTTCACAAGTTGGCTCAACAGTAACTTCACTTCTCAGTTGTTTTAATCACCGAGTTCTCGTCAAAGAAGTACCTATTCCTGGGATCACGGTTACTGAAAAAAATATATTCTTCAACTTTTTCTTGAGCGTTCTCAGTCAAGCATTATATTATTATTAGATTAAGCTCTCTTTTGGAACTATTGTCAACTCTTTGCACGAGTAACCGAAATCACGTGTCAATACATGACTTATCGAACCTTTGCGGGTCAACAACCTGATTTTCGATTAAATGTTTTTGTATTTCCGTAGCATACATACTTGGTCGTCGCTGTTTAAAAAACTCTGTGTAGGGGCTCCTGGACATATGAAACGATCAACAATATTTGTTACCGTCCTTCTCAGTAAATTAAACTGGTGCACTATTTGGAATGGTTTCAAACCCCAGTGATTTTGTTACTTCTGCATCTTGTGTCCCTCACACAAAAAATTATCCAAAGATGCAAAATAATTCATGGCATGCATCCCATAGGATGCAAAGGATGATCGATCGATTTGAAGATTTGTTGGTAGAATATCCTGTTTGTGCGATTTCTGTAGCTGTTGTTTAAAGATGTATATAATTATTTTAGTCTTTTTGTGCTTTAAATATATGACTATATTTTGATTTTAGTAAAGTGTCACAAAGAGTTTTGGCATCTGTCCCCAGATTAACTGTCTGGTTAAAAGGCCCATACCAAGCATTTTCAATTAAGGACTCCCTGTTTTTTAACTAGGACTCACTGGTTGTGCATGTGGACAGGCCAGAACTCTTGACTATTCACAAAATGTGTCCCAGGACTCACCATATACTATTTGTAACAAAATCACTGGAACCCTCTAACCATTTTTCTACACTCATTTCACAGACCTCACAGTGCAGCGCCTTGCCTTGTTTAGTAAGAGGATTCAGGTTCATTATGTTGCAGTTTCCTGCTCGGGAAATTACTGTACTTATCAATCACAGCTTTGTGTCAACAAATATGTCTCCCAAGCCTTATCTCAAATGCTACAGACCACAAAAATGAAATATGGAAAACTGTTAAGCTTACCTCGTCTTACTATCGGTATTCAATCACAATCCTCCGCCTTGGATAGCCTTAGCACGGTAAAACACTCCAACTTTCAAATTATACTTGCGCATCACGAGGTTTTTGTCTCACATTCTGCTCCACTGTGTCAGAAAAGAGTCGCTTTACGAGGGAAGCGATCGATTACTGAAGGCCGATGGGTCGCTAAATATACATAACAACCCTTAGATGTCTTGTGGTATCATTAGAAAGCAAAAATATACCAATTCCACGCTGCTAGAACCTATATAGAAGCTGGCAAATTTGAAGCCGTTGCAATCACTTTCAAAATGGACGCCAAAAAGAATGACCGCAATGAGCATGAGCAAAGGAAAAGTCCGCTGACCAGCACTCCGCTCTGTTCTAGGCCCCATTCTCTCTTGTTTTCTCTCTTGTTTTCTCCGTCTAAGAGCATTTTAGTTTTACGCCAGTACTAGTACTGATTGACATCAATCTGGCAAATATTGAAAGCTGTTGGTAAGCTCTGCGATTTTTATCACTTAGAATGGAAAGCAATGGCAACCTCGCACACTTCACAGTCTTTGCGTCAATGCAACGCGCGCGAGTAATGCATGAGAACCGTTTAATCTCGAGAGTAAATTTACCTTTATTCACCTTGATTGTACGCCAAGGCAAAGTTTACGAAACATTGATCATGCGATCTTGGACGTGGGTTAAAAAAAAAAAAGAAAAAAATTCGTCACCTGAAACGTAACGGAAACAAGAAAGAACGGAAATGTGATGACAGAAATGTGGCGGAAACATGATCGTTCGTTTCCGACGCGGAAACATGACGGAAACGCGTCCCGTCCATGGAAAACTAGATCACCATGTTTCCGCAGGGCGGAAACGTGACGGATATAAGCAACTTCCCGTTTCCGTCGAGTTTCCAAAATACGGAAACACGTTATTTCGTCCTGTGTCTGTATTTTAATCATTAGTCCGACAATAAAACAGTAATAACTAAATACACTGAAACACGCAGACATCTGAAGACGGTAACTTTCTTGTTTTGACAGAATTTAATTCATTAACGAAAAAAAGAGAGAATATGATAACTAAACTTCCTTTCTATCGCGATGGATTATTACTAATTATGACGGCGTGGTTTATTACAAAGTGCAATGGACATTTATTACGAGCTGCGACAGCTTTTTTTATTTCAAAGTGCGACAGAGTTTACTACAATTTGCGACGACAGGTATTATAAAGTGCGATGATTAATACAAATTGCGACAGTACACATTGCATGGTTACCTTATTTTGTAAATCATCTACAAATTCATAAATATCTCACTGCTTAACCTTTTGGGAAATTTAGGAAGAAGTGCATCGGCCATGTTCTACTTTTTCACTGTGTCTACATCGCGCGTTTGTAAAAGCAAAATGTCAGTTAGTAATTCTGCATCGAAGAAATGGTATCTCAGCGATCTAGCAATTCAAAATATCACTTTTAGCTACGCTGTGTAACCTAATCAAGCCTTTAGGGATTTCTACATAAAATTACTCGTTTGAACCGTTCTTTAAAATTAGTGCTGCGAAAAGCGTAGATAAAAGGGTTGAAACATAAACTTACAACGAATACAAAATCAGCCACAGTCGTAAGTTGAGCGTAAAAACTAACGTCTGTTGTTCCATCTCCTGATGGAATGATCACGTAAGAAACTAGGGTTGGTGTCTAACCCATAAAAAATCCAAAAGTTACCAATATGAACGTGATAACAAGTTTCTTCTTCTCAGATCTCCTTTCTCCATCTGTGTCTCGACACACTGTTTTGCTGAAATAAAGTCCCCTTGTCAAGGATCCATAGCAGTATATTATGATCGACAGTTGAACAAACCATGCAACTGCATCTAATGCTAGCTTGATTTAAGTACAGAATGTAGGTATCAATACAGGTCTTATAAGTTTCGCTCCATTCTTTAAGGAACGGTTGCTGGGAGGCATATAAGAACGCTTGGCTCCCAAATGCAAGCGATCGCCTTCTTTACGTTGTCTTCTCTTAAGCGCAGTCCGGTTCTATAATACTTCAATAACGCGTGATATTTTTCCACCGCTAATACAGCCATGTTAATGCAGGAAACCGTTATACAGGCCTGAATGATCTCAACTAATTTCGAAACGATTTTCCAAACTTCAAAGAAATAAAACAGACACAATGAAATGGTAATACAGTCGAACCTCGATTATCCGGACCTCGATTATCCGGACTTTTTTTCTGGTCCCAGTTTGGTCATGAATATTTATTAGCCACGAACAAGATCCGCAGCCATATCCTTTTGAAAACTACAGCATTGAAAAGTGCAGTCCAATGCGAGGACAAGAAACGGAATCCCCGCGTAAAAAAGGGTAAATAGAAGATCAACATTTTCAGTTATACTTCAGGCAAGTAGTTCAATCTGTCAAAGTTTAAGGTTGTTGAACGCTAACAATCTTACTAACACATCAACATGAGCTTATATAACGTTTCCAGTTTCTTAAGGGTAGACCATGATAGGTATTGATAGCCTTCGCAATTAATAAAGGCTGGTAATTGTTTTCATAACAGTAGCGTTGACGTCTAACTTGAAAATCAGAAGATTAGGAATATTCTGTGGAATGATTAACACAAAAAGCAGAGTTTTATTATGTGATTGAGCGCTCGCTTAAAGATACGAGGAATATAATGTGCAGTGACCGCAATCAATCGCAATCTTAAAACAGTGGTAGGTACGTCTGTTCGCAAAAGCCGGAAAAAAATGGGATTTTGCACAATAACTCTAAAAATGGAGTAAAACATTTAAGTACAGGATAACCCCTTTTTGGGGGTTACTTTAACTCCTAATTTAACTCCAAATTTGCGGTCATTCTTACTTCTGAAAAAGAGTTCCTTTCTGAATGGGTTGTTTTTACTCTTTTTGGAGTTAATTTAACTCTGAAAGTGAAGTAAAACTTTTAGGTACAGGATAACTCCTTTTTGGGGGTTATTTTAACTCCTCAATATCTGGGGTCACTTTTACTCCTGAAAAAGAGTTCTTTAAACTCCTTTTTGGAGTTAAAATAACTTCCCAAAAAATAACTCCACTGTAAGGAGTTAAATTAGCCCCACTAGAGAAGTTGAAAATTACTGTGCACGAATTTGAAAAAGGTTTGAAAGGGGAATGTAGCATATTTCTAGCCCTGATTAATACCTTCAAGTTGGTGGAGTAAAATTATGTTATAGGCTGTTTGTGTTATTTGGGACCAAAGATCACAGTGTAACTAAGTCTGCTTTTTTACGTTCTGGAATTATGTTTATCCACTTCGAAGCTGTAAGGAAACGCATGCATTGTGTTAATTAGAATGTAAACTATTGGTATGTGAAATGTCTAAAATTGCTAAATGATAAAGAAAAACGATTTTTCTTGGCGGAATTTTGTACTGCGGTGACATCTTTCAAGGCACTTGAGTGCATCGAAAACTGTCAAGCACTTCAGGTGTTCTTTACCAATTCATACTGTAATGCATTACCACTGCTACCTGTAGTCCGCGCGGCAAGCAAGTTTAGAAGAAAGCTTCTCAACGGGAATTCTATCCATACTTACGGATTTATTCGAAGGCGGTTGTAATTTACCTTTCATTATTTTAATCCAGTTAGGAGGAATTGCTTTGCATAAACCGTAGTAGGTAAGAAAATTAGTTTTAAGACCAAAGTAAGAGCAGAAGTCTTGGTGAGATAGAAAGGTATTGCCGTTGAAGAGATCTCCAATTTTTTCAACACCCGCTACATGCCATGCTTTGTAGTATACTGAATAATTGTTGATCCTAATAAAGCGGTTGTTCCATAAGATTTCATTCAGTATTTCTTCTTTTGAGGAGGGAGTGAACGAATTTATGGATTGCCGGGCCAACAAGGCTTTCTCGTAAAAGATCAATGGAATGTGTATGTTAAGATGTTTAAGTTCAAAGTTACATTTAAGGACAAAGAGACCACCGACTCGCTCTAGCAGGGAAACAGGAATGTGAGTCCAACTCGCGGTGGGATGACAGCTGTCGAGTCTTCTGATCCAAGTTGCTTTGAGAGCATTGTTAATTATGTCAAAATCAGGCAATGAGAGACCACCTTTTTCTTTAGGGCCAATCAAGGTAGTTTGTTTTATTTTTGGTTTTTTCTTTTGCCAGACGAATTGAGTAATAGCTTTATTAACTTTTTGAATAAATGTGGGGGTGACAGTGAGGACAGCAGTGTTATAAATAAGTTTGGAGAGGGCTAGTGCTTTTAAAATGACAATTCGACCATGTAAAGTTAAGTTCCTAGGGTACCACAAGTTTAGCAAGGAAGCCATCGAGGACAGTTTCTGTTCAAAGTTCCTTTTGAAAGCAGCTTCGTCATCATAAGAGAAGTGAATACCAAGTGCAAATACAGGGTCTTTTGGCCATGCAATATCAAGAGGTTCTTCCGGGTTGTTTTTGTTCGCGCCTAGCCACAAGCCCTCTGTCTTGCTTCTGTTTACTTCAAGACCAGAGAATTTTTGAAAAGCGTGGAGCAGTTGGAAGAGGTTTTGGGCAGATGTTATATCAGAGACAAAAACAGTGGTATCATCTGCGTATTGCGAAATTTTGAATTCCTTTCCATATATGTTGATTCCTTGAATATTTGCATTAGACCTTATTGCATTGGCAAGAATTTCAGCGCACAGCACAAATAGGGAGCCGGAAAGAGGGCACCCTTGGCGAACACCTCTTTGTAGTTTAAAGAAGACAGAGGCGTAACCATTATCTACTACACAGCTAGAACAGTCAGTGTAAAAGGTTCGGATCCACTGTAGTAACTGAGGGCCGAAATTTAATGCCTCCAAGGTCTTAAAAAGGAAGTTCCAGTCGACGGTGTCAAAAGCTTTTTTAAAGTCCACAAAAATCGCCATGCCGGGAATGTTTTCTAGCTCAGTTATCTTCATGATATCGTTAATGAGTCTAATGTTCTGTCCTATATAGCGTCCCTTGACATAGCCAGTTTGGTTGTCGTTCATTAATTTGGGGAGGACTTTAGCGATTCTATGGGCTATAGATTTAGTTGCTATTTTATAGTCGACGTTAAGTAACGTTAGCGGTCTCCAATGTTCCAAATACAACCTGTTCTTGCGTTTTTTCGGTATGACCTTTATTATACCTTGTCTTTGTTTTATGTTGAGTTGTTCTACTTTATGAGCATAGTTAAAGCTTTGGACCATCTCATCACCAAGTAGATGCCAGAAGTGCAAATAGAACTCAACTGAGAGACCGTCGCTGCCCGGACATTTGTTTTTAGCACACTGTTTAAGAACGTTGAAACACTCGGTTTTCGACAAAGGCTGTTCGAGTTCATTTAACAAATTAGATTGGCTACCTATAGATGATATTATACGTATCAGGAAGCTTTATATGCTTCATAAAATAAATCAAGGACATTGCCCGGCTTATTTTAATAAATATATTGAACATATAAGTAACACCCATAATCATAACACGAGATCCGTTTCCAATAACAATATTACAACACCAGCTTGTAAAAGGAACTCTGGCCTTCGAACGTTTCAATCAAGCGCTTGCCGTTTGTGGAACGCTCTTGATCCCGAACCTAAGACACTCTCCCATACTAATTTTAAAAATTACTTATTTAAACTTTACCGTAGTTTGATTTCTTCTCTTGATCATTTTAAGATTTGTAAAACCTTTTAGTTTCATTAGTAGTCAATTAATCAATATTGTATTAATAGTAGTTTATTATGTAATTTTAGTTGGTAGATTATATTGGTAGTTAATTAAATAATCGATACTTTAATTGTAGGAGGGCCATTATAAAAACTACTGGGTGACCAGTAATCAATGTCTTTACCCTCGTTAAATAAAGTTATTACCTTACCATTTAGCTCGTTTTCGTCGAGTTTGACGAGGTTAGGGTCTCCCAGGAAAGTATCGCGTGCAATAATATCACAGGAAGCGCTCGTATATAAATTTTCATAAAATGTTCTCTGCATTTCCAAAATCTCTTTTTCGCAAGAAGTTTCCGAGCCAGTACTTGTTTTAAGCCTAGTTATATGAGTTTTTGCAAACCTCCTTTTCTCAAGATTTAAGAAGTATTTAGTATTCTTTTCTCCTTTTTCGTGCCTGCGTATCCTACTTCTAATCATTGCACCCTCGGTTTTATATTCAGCAATCTGATTGAGGTGAGCTCTTAATTGGTAGAGTTTAGTGATATTTTCTTTCGATCTGTTGGATTGCAGCAAGGCCATTAGGTGATCAATTTCTTTCTGAAGGTCTCGTTCCTTATTTCTTTTTATTCTGTTTTTCCTTTTTGAGTATTGTACACAGAAACCTCTAATCTCCATCTTGAGCATGTCCCAGTACAGGCCTTCATTAGTAAGGTAACAGTGTTTGTTTTTGTACTCGGGTATTTTGCTTACGAGCTCGTCAATGAAATTCAGCAAAGCGTTATTAATTTTCCAAAACCCAGGTCCACGTTTAGCGTATTCTTTCGATTGAAGAGTGAAAGTGATAGCGCTATGATCAGATATTGTGGGGTTGGTGATGTTAGTATCAATGACAGACATCAACAATTCTTTCGACACAAGCCAATAATGTAAGCGGCATTGCACTTTCAAGGAATTGTTACGCCATGTAAATTGTGTTTTGTTGGTATGTTGATTTCTCCAAATGTCATGAAGTTTAAAACGGCGGGTTAAGCCTTCAATCTCGTCAATGACTTTTTGTTTTTTCTGAACAGTAGCACCACCCATTTTATCTGTAGGTGTTAATGGGCAATTCATGTCACCTCCCAAGATGATTTGTGCATCTGCAAATGGTAGGAGAATGTTATCAAGATTGCGAAAGAAAGCTATCTGGGAGGTAGAGCCATTTGGCGCGTAAATGTTGCTAAACAAGAAGGAAGATTCTAGCACGTTGGCTTTTAATAGCAAGTATCGTCCATTCTTATCAGCGAAGATGCTTTCTGTTTCGAAATCCAGACTCGGTTTAAATAATATCATCACACCTTTTGAATGTGTTGTTCCATGACTATAATAAATTTTCCCTCCCCATTCTGCTTTCCATATTTCTTCGACACTTTTGGAAG